CCCAAACCAACTCCAATACATTTTGAACTGACTTCCTCACTAGTTACTGAAATAGTTGGTAATTTCTCAGAAATTAAAATTACATTCAAGGTGAAACACACTTTCTGATGTTACCTTTTTATATAGCTCCAGTACAAATAAGATGGTGTAACCTCTAGAATAGTTTTTACAAGAAGTCTGAGCTGAATATAGGTGTGAAAAACACCTATGTAAATTTTAAATTAATTACGTCAATTAGAAGAGCTCACAGTGTGTGTTCTCCATTAGTTGTTCACAAGGGTTTCTTTCAGTTAACATGGTTCTTTCATGAAATGAGATGTGCGCATCAGTCTGCACAGTTTTCCAATATTTTAATAAAATAATATTTCATACAACGCTGCATATAATAATGCAAGGAGAGAATTAGCTCTGTGGGATAAGGTGTTTGGAGACAGAAGTTACCCATAAAATCTTGCAACAAAATTTTGAAGACTGGTGTAGCTGCACATTTTTAAAGAGCTCTTTAAAAAGCGCTCTTTTTAAAGATAAGGAAAGATAAGGAAACTTATCTTTTACTAATGTCAATTACATTTGAAGTTTTTCTGTATTTTGCAGGTGATGTCCAACTTTATACTCCAAGTAAACAATATTAAGTCTTGAATTTAAAATTAGTTCAAATGTAATCATTATCACAGTCTTTCTGAATCCTCAGTATTCCAGTCCTGTGTTTATATTTATATGAACTCGCTCACATTCTTAGTCATTACTGACATCAGTAACGGCCACTGCATCTTCTCTTTCTTAGAAGAAACTCAGGTTTTACCAACATGACATTCAGAAGAGATTAACGTTGCCCTTGTATATGAAGTCCCACCAAATATTTCTAGGTATTTCATTGTCTATTTATCTCCTCTGCTGACTTGGACAAAAATTCACTACTTCCCTGCTGAATACCAAATCAACTGGAAAAGTGAACTTTCTATCAGCCTGTGAAAGTTATATCCTTACAAGAATGACCAAATAACTTTGTATTCTACTCCCCTTTCAATCTTCTGCCCAAGTTTCCAGAATGCCTTTAACTTATAGGCCATGCACATCTGTAATCAATGAAAAAGTCCAAAAGGAATAAATAATATGTAAAAAGTGCCTATAACTATCTCTTTGATGAGAACTTGAAGAACTGCAGGTGGAACTAATTGTTCTGTGCAGTTTTGTTGAACTGTGGATGTTCTAGTAGAGTAAGGGAGAGAGAAGGGACAACACTCACTTGTGAATACATTACAATGGTACTGCCACAGATCTGTCTAATAAGATCTGTCTAATAAATGCAATTCTACTTAGAAAGAAACAACTACAAATTTCAAACTCAACCTGTCAATTCAAGCTTAGGAGCTTTCAAGAGACCAATTAATCTCAACATTTGTTCATATCAAATGACTATTTCTTAAACCTGAACTCACTCAGAAGTCTATTTTAGAAAAATAATATATTATATTTGAAAGTACCAAAGTAGCCTCAAAATTATCATGTAAATACAGCAGTTCTGAATGGAATTTAAAATTACAGCAACAATCATAAAATATTTCTTAAGAGAACGACTACAAAAGTCAGTCTATTTATCATATTTTAAGGGAAAAATTAATTGAATATTTCTCTTTATTCCCAAGCTTGAAAAAAATACTTTTACAAAGTACTATGTACGTATACTTCAAATACAGAAAAGCTGTTTTCACCTATCTTAAATAATTATAATATCCAGGAATAAATGAAAAAAAAAAATTGTAGAAGTAATTTTCAAAAAAGAAAAATGATGTGTTATCATACATTTCTGAAAGAAATAGAGATCGGTACAGAATACGCTTCTTAGTAAGTATTTATAAAAATATTTATGATCTATTCCTAAAAGAAGGTAGTCAGTTGTGCTACAGGTTCTGTAAGAATCCATTTTGTATCTGCATGCAAACATAATGTAGTTAAGAAAAGACATATGCAATGTAGTGAATTTTGTTAGAAAAACAGGTTTGAACAAGTAAGTACCAAGTCTTGAAAGCCTAGTTTGTCTGGATACAAGCATATTGAGAAATACGTGTTCCTATTACAGGAGTAATTATTATATATTGGTTGCAAGTGCTTCTATTTTTAATTATTTTCAATTTGTTAACACAATGAAAAAATTCAAACCTCTCAAATACTTCAATATCGAAACAGAAACGTTTGTCAATTGAATCTGTCTTTCTCCTGATGCAAGATTTTAGCTTGTATATTTCTGGTGAGCTTGTGACAAGGCCATTCTATAAAACAAAACAAAATTAGCACAGGCAGTATGCTGATATACCTTGGCTTCAAATCTTAAATTTAACTGTATGAACAGTCCAAAGAACATGCCTTAAGATAGAGATTAAAATTATTTAGGAACATATACAATAATTTCTCTGTATATAAAGTAAGAATATAGTTAATAGCTTTCTGTCACATATTTGTTATTTAATCATTGTATTTCAGAAAACTCCCTAAATGCAAAACTTTACAAACATCTGCATATATAACATGGTTATATGTTACATGTTAGAACGAATATCATACAATTCTGTCAACTCTCACATGTAGATAAAAAGATTTCTAAAGAATAAAGCTGACTAACTCCTAGTTCTGGTCACCATCATTGTGAGGCCACTCTCTATAACGTTGGAAAGGCTGACGCAATCAGGGGAGTTTCTGAGGAATGGGAGAAATCAAATGTCATAGAATCATTAAGGTTGGAAAAGACCTCTAAGATCATCGAGTCCAACCGTCGACCCAACACCACCATGCCCACTAAACCATGTCCCTAAGCGCCTCATCTACACGTCTTTTAAATACTTCCAGG